GAGCCCAGTATATATAGTATAGTGTGGAGCAGTGTTGTGCATGCATGCAAGTAAAGCGCAAGTGTTTGCGGCAATGATTGAAGTATAGGTGTAGTGTGTGGGACAGTACATGCACTGAAGTGTTTGGGGCATTGTATGGCAGCATTTTGGAAATATTTGCAGTGTATGTGCAGTGTTTTGGACAACACATACAGTGCATGTACAGTCTAAGACCAAACATGGAGTATATGTCCGTGTAAGACTATATGCAGCATATGTGCAGTGTTTGGGACCATACATGCTGTATATGTACAGTATATGTGCAGTGTTTAGGACCATACATGTACATGTGCAGTGTTTAGTACCATACACGTAGTATATGAAAAGTGTTTGGGACCATACATGTAGTGTATGTGCAGTGTTTTGGGACCATACTTGCAATATATTTACAGTGTTAGCCTATATGCACTTTATGTGCAGTGTTTGGGAACATACAAGCAATACATATACAGTGTTTGGGACCATACGTGCCGTATATGCATAGGCGTGCACACGGGGTGTGCCGGGTGTGCCTGGGCACACCCTAATCTCCGCGGCACGCGCTATGTGCCTCCCTCCGTGGGCAGGTGAGGGAGATTAAAGATCTCCCTCACGACCCACAGGCAGGGAGGGAGGCAGGAGAGGACCCAGGGAGCTCTTGCCAGCAGCTCCGCCGGGTTCCTCTCGCGCGGTCGGGGGCTAGAGTTCACTCTCCACTGAACCACCAGGGAAGGCAGGAGCACGGTCCCCCCTCCCTACATAAGGTAAGAAGGGAGGGCGAATATTAACTAAACGGCCCCCACACCCCACACACAAACATACAGCACACACGCATAAATCACCCTTACACACACAGCACAAACACACTAACAGCACCCTCACACTAACAACACCCTTACACACACAGCACACACTAACAACACCCTTACACACAGCACCCTCACCCACACACACACAGCACACACTTACAACACTCTTACACACACACACACTAACAGCACCCTCACACTAACAACACCCTTACACACACAGCACCCTCACACATGCACACACTAACAACACCCTTACACACACAGCACCCTCACACATACACACACACATCACACACTAACAGCACCCTTACACACACAGCACCCTTACACATACACACACTAACAGCACCCTCACACACAGCACACACTAACAGCACCCTCACCCACACACACAAAGTACACACTAACAGCACCCTTACAGACACACACTAACAGCACCCTTACACACACAGCACCTTCACACACACACACAGCGCCTTCGCACACACAGCGCCTTCGCACACACAGCGCCTTCACACACACACAGCGCCTACACACACAGCACCTACACACACAGCACCTACACACACAGCAGTGTGTGTGTGTGTGTGTGTATGTATGTGTATATATATATATATATATATATATATATACGGCGTGTGTGTTTCTGCTTTAGGATGCACACCCTTATACAATAGGCTGCGCACGCCTATGCGTATATGTACAGTATATATGCAGTGTTTGGGACCATACATGTAGTATATGTACAGTATATGTGCAGTGTTTGGGACCATACATGCAGTACATGTACAGTATATGTGCAGTGTATGCACAATATTTGTGCAGTGTTTGGGACCATACATGTAGTATGTGTACAGTATTTGTGCAGTGTTTGGGACCATACATGTAGTATATGTACAGTATATGGGCAGTGTTTGGGACCATACATGCATTACATGTACAGTATATGTGCAGTGTTTGGGACCATACATGCAGTATATGTACAGTATATATGCAGTGTTTGGGATCATACATGTAGTATGTGTACAGTATATGTGCAGTGTTTGGACCATACATGCAGTATGTGTACAGTATATGTGCAGTGTTTGGGACCATACATGCAGTATATGTACAGTATATGTGCAGTGTTTGGGACCATACATGTAGTATGTGTACAGTATATATGCAGTGTTTGGGGCCATACATGCAATATATATACAGTGTCTGGGACCATACATGTAGTATGTGTACAGTATATGTGCAGTGTTTGGGACCATACATGCAGTATATGTGCAGTATATGTGCAGTGTTTGGGACCATACATGCAGTATATGTACAGTATATGGGCAGTGTTTGGGACCATACATGCATTACATGTACAGTATATGTGCAGTGTATGCACAGTATATGTGCAGTGTTTGGGACCATACATGCAGTATATGTACAGTATATAGGCAGTGTTTGGGATCATACATGTAGTATGTGTACAGTATATGTGCAGTGTTTGGGACCATACATGCAGTATGTGTACAGTATATGTGCAGTGTTTGGGACCATACATGCAGTATATGTACAGTATATATGCAGTGTTTGGGACCATACATGTAGTATGTGAATAGTATATGTGCAGTGTTTGGGACCATACATGTAGTATGTGTACAGTATATATGCAGTGTTTGGGGCCATACATGCAATATATATACAGTGTCTGGGACCATACATGTAGTATGTGTACAGTATATGTGCAGTGTTTGGTACCATACATGAAGTATGTGTACAGTATATATGCAGTGTTTGGGACCATACATGTATATATGTACAGTGTCTGGGACCATACATGTAGTATGTGTACAGTATATGTGCAGTGTTTGGTACCATACATGTAGTATGTGTACAGTATATATGCAGTGTTTGGGACCATACATGCAGTATATATATATGCAGTGTTTGGGACCATACATGCAGTATATATAATATGCAGTGTTTGTGACCATACATGCAGTATATATATTTGCAGTGTTTGGGACCATACATGTAGTATGTGTACAGTACATGTGCAGTGTTTGTCTCACTCACCAGGGTCTGCTCATATTTGAGGGCTCTCCTCTCCATCCCGTTGGTGGGCATGGTTCCTGTATGGGGGTGCTGGGCTCTATGTTGGTGGCTGTCTGTCCAGCTCTCCCCCTGCACTCCGCCTCACACCTCCAGGGTGTCCGTCCCAGCTCCTTCTCATTCAGAGCCGCTCTCTCTCTGTCCCACGTCTGTATCTGAGCTCTCCGCCCTCTTCCTCACATTCAGCCTGCTCCCTCCCTCTCTCCGCCCGGGTCACTCCTATCCCCGCCTGGCCGCTCTCACTCAGCAGCCCTCGGTGTAGTTAGAGTCACTTGCTAGTCCCCGGGCCACTCACTGTATAGGAGCAGTCAGTGCTGGCTCTGGGTGTAGGTAGGATGACGTATAGAATGCTTGCCGGCAGTATCCGGCCCTGCTCTGTCTGTAGGTAGGTGATCAGGTACAGTAAGTACCACTCACTGGGATTAGATCAATATAGAGCAATACTCTGAAAGCAGGTGGCAGCCTATTCCTCACAGTGCATAACACACATTATTTATTATTATTTTATTAATCAAAACTAAAATGAAAGTTGTTGTTTTTTTTAATTGTAAAGTAAACGTTTATTTAAAACAAATACAAAATGGGCATAAAATACCATATGTGTACTGGATCAAGAACATGGTATAGACATTATCTTTTTAGAATTATTTATCTTCCATTAGATTAGAACATGAATTAACAAAATTAGACACTAACTTGCTGGTAGGAACTTAAAAGGACTTCCCACTGCCCAAATAAAACAAAATTCACTGTTTAGTATACCCTCTGAAACATGCTTGCATTTAATTATGCATTTTGCTAAACCTCCCCTTGGAGCTCCACCGGGACTTTCTGTAGCTAACCAATCACAGAGTTCACAAGGCAGCTCAATGAGTCTTTGCAGAGGGTACACTGCTCAGTTGCCTGTCTCTTGAGTTTAGCTTCACTGACAGGGAGCAGGATGTAACCAGGTTAATTTGTAAAAGTGTCAATATCTATTGAAATCTGCACTTTTGTAAAATGAAACAAGAGAACACACTCTATTAACATAAAGCTCCCCAGCAAGCAGAAGTACTCTAGTGATCTGCCTCTTTAAATGTGGAATTTGAGCACAGTTCAGCCCTGAGCAGAGCCGGATTAACGTAGGGGCTGATGGAGCTCCAGGCCCAAGCCCATGGAATAGGCCCATTGATTTAAAAAATAACAACCTACTTTTAGGGTTGCCAGGTATTTCTTAGTGTTACCAGGTATTTCTCAGATATCTGAGGATGCCTAGCCAGTGCCGGTATTGCAGTAATACCGGCATAACAAATGTTAGTCTCAGAATAAACTGAGATTAGATGCAATACTGGCACCGGTATAGGTGGTGCTGTGTGTGGAGAGAGGCAGGGATAGGAAGTTACAGCATCTCCCTCAGTGTTTCCTAGTCTCTCTGTGTCCCAATGTCTCCCAGTTTCCTGTCTCTCAGTGTCCCCTAGTATAAAAAAAAAAAATCTCAGGCTCTCACTGTGATAGATTTAAGCAGGTTTATTGGACACCGCCAGTGGCGTACACACGAACCATGGGGCCCTGGTCTGAAAATTGGAGGGATCCCCAACGCCAAGAAAGTCTGGCGCTGGAGAAAGGTAAGTGCTGAAGGGGTTTTAAACACACACACACACTCTCACGAACAGACGCATACACACTAGCTAACAGACACACACATTTACTGACAGAGACACACTCAGTGACATACATACACACTCACTGACAGACAGGCACACATACACACTCACTTACAAAACATACACTCTCACTGACAAACACACACTCACTAACAGACATCAAACAGACTCACTAACAGACACACACAAACTAACACACTCAGTAACAGACACACACACTGAGACACTAACACATTCACTGACACTCACACAGTAACACACACACACTGACACAAAAACTAACACTAGCACACACACACAGACGTTTACAATTTAATCCCCCAGCCTCCTTACCTTTGGGAGAGTGGAGGGGATTCCCTGGGGTCCAGTGGTGCTGCTGGGTGGCTGGTCACCGTGCTGGCTGGCTGGCCGGCGTGCGTGGGAACACTCTTCCCTGAGCGCTCTCTGCCCAGCTCCCTCGCACGCCGCTTACTGATGCCGGAGCAGTAAAATGACTTCATATTCTGGCTCCAGCATCAGTGCGGTGTGCGAGGGAGCTGGGCAGAGAGCGCTCAGGGGAGAGTGCTCCCTAGCGCACCCACCAGCCCAGTGACACCAGGGCAAGCCTCGGGGGGCCCTGAGGTGGCGTACATACCCCTGCGACCCCGGTATGTATGCCACTGGACACCGCAATGTTTCAACCTATATTCAGATTTTTATCAAGTCTTCAGTGTCCCCTTTGTATCACAGTGTCTCAGTGCCCCATGTCTCCCAGTGTCCCTGATGTCTCTGTGTCCCTTAGTCTCCCAGTGCCCCCATGTCTCAGTATCCCCTAGTATAAAATAAAAATATATCTCAGGCACTCACTGTGATAGATTTAAGCATGTTTATTGGACACCGCAACATTTTGACCTGTACCCAGGGGCGTATTAGCCGCGAGGCAAACAGACATGCCGGGCTGGGCGGGCGGCGCTGGGCGGGCAGGCGGGCAGCGAGGGAGCTCTTCCCCTGAGCTGTCCGCTCAGCTCCCTCGCGCGCCGCAGACTGAGGCTGGGAGCCGGAATATGACGTCATCTTCCGGCTCCCAGCCTCACTCTGCTGGCAGCATTAGAGGGAGCTGAGCAGAGCGCTCAGGGGAAGAGCTCCCTCGCCGCCCGCCTGCCCAGCGCCTCCCGCCCAGCCCGACCGGCAGCCACTGGACCCCAGGACCCCAGGGAGAGGAAGAACCCCCCCAGCATTCCCAAAGGTAAGGAGGCTGGGGGGGTTAAATTAAAAAAAAACACAAGTGAATGTGTGTGTGTGTATCTGTTAGTGTGTGTGTGTGTTAGAGTGTGTGTGTCTGTTAGTGTGTGTGTGTCTGTTAGTGTGTGTGTCTGTTAGTGTGTGTGTATGTTAGTGTTAGTGTGTGTCTGTTAGAGTGTGTGTCTGTTAGTGTGTCTGTCTGTTAGTGTGTGTCTGTTAGTGTGTGTATGTTAGTGTGTGTGTGTATGTTAGTGTGTGTGTGTATGTTAGTGTGTGTATGTTAGTGTTAGTGTGTGTGTGTGTCTGTTAGTGTGTGTGTGTGTCTGTTAGTGTGTGTGTCTGTCTGTTAGTGTCTGTCTGTCTGTCTGTTAGTGTGTGTGTGTTTGCATGTTAGTGTGTGTGTGTTTGCCTGTTAGTGTGTGTCTGTTAGTGTGTGTGTGTGTGTTTGCCTGTTAGTGTGTGTGTGTGTGTGTTTGCCTGTGAGTGAGTGTGTGTCTGTTAGTGAGTGTGTGTTTCTGTTAGCTAGTGAATGCGTATCTGTCAGTGAATGTGTGTGTGTATTTAGAAGGCGGAGCAGGGGGGAAGGGTTGGGTGGTGGTTGCGCGGGTGGGGGTAGCACGGGGGGTGCCTGAGTTTTGTCCTGCCTAGGGCAGCACAAAACCAGGATACACCACTGCCTGTACCCAGGTCTTTATCAAGTCTCCAGTGTCCCCTATATATTACAGTGTCCCCTTTGTATCACAGTGTCTCAGTGCCATATGTCTCCCAGTGTCCCCTCATGTCTCAAAGCCACCCAGTGTCCCCAAGTGTCTCAGTGTCCCAAGGTCTCCCAGTGTTCCCAGTGTCCCCTCATGTCTCAAAGCCACCCAGTGTCCCCATGTCTCCCAGTGTCCCAATGTCTCTGAATGTCCCCTAGTGTCCTAGTGAAATAAGGGGCACCGGCATTCATGTCCGCACTGGGACTTCACCTGGAACAACCGCACACTGCAGACGACGCCCAAACCATTACCTGGGGAACAACAGCCAGCACCTCAACCGACCAAGCTGCGAAGAACCAACAACCCCAGAGCACCTGAACCTGCTACGGGACAGTGATGAACTAGCCTTAACACAACCACAAAACTACCCGGCCCATACCAGCCAAGCTGACAACCTAAACTCTCATACATCCATGGAAGGCCTATAGCCTTATGTTACTTATTTTATTGTTTAGCAATTCTGTTCATGTCATTTTATGCATATATTACGGCTGCACCAAACTCACACATGAGACGTATCCCACACAGGAACACAACCACGATCCCTGAACACAAAGGGTCTACACAACCAGCCCACTCAACAAATAAAAGCCCTCCCCCCCCCACAAAAAAACATAAAAAAGAAAAGAACCCTAGACACCCTGAAGACTAATGGCGTCCTGAACACCCCCCATAACCCCCTCCAGCCCAGGGGCAACACTATGCATGCTAAACCGCTACTGGGACCAACACATACGCATGCCGCGCACAGCACCCAGGAGATATTCACAACCTGGCATCACTCTCAGAGCAAGAAACAAACATGTGACCACACGAGAACAGGCTCCTCAGCAACACGGCATCCGCCTGCACCACAAAGGAGCGTACATCACACCACATGCTTGTAGCACCCCGGGAACGCAATAAAAACCAATCACTAGCATACCACCACTCAGGCAGACCTGGGCTTGTCCCCAAACATGACCACGACACAAAGGTGCTCATCACAAGCATTTCACTGTACAACTTGAAACAAACCACAAATGTTATATAAATATGTGTAACCGCTTTATACATGAAAATTGAAAACCCAAGAAATGCCTGAAATGCTCTTCCTGTACAATTGAGCACGGAAAATAACAAATTAGAATGTAAAAATAAATAAATAAATAAACGCGGTCTAGCTTCAACAGCAGCATCCTATGATAACATGAATCTCTAAGTATCTTGGTAGATCATATATGAGTAAAGGATGCAGCCTAAAGCCCCCGAAGTACGCGTTTCGCCCGAGCTGGCTCATCAGAGGGAAACCTGCTGTAAGGAATGTTGGGTTTAAAAAGGGTTGAAGCCTGATTGGTGTAGACTTCAATCCTGTTTGATGATGTCATTAATTCCTTTCAGTCTCTGCCCATTGGGGAGGAGACTCGCGATTATGTAGTATTAACCCCTTATGGTAAGGTAGTAAGAACCCTAACTTAAAAAAACCTTTTTGGTGATAATTATATATATGTTGTAATCCTTTGCATATTGAATTAATAGAACGTTACCATATGTATAATTGTAAAAAATTTTCTAAAGATGATTTATAATAGAGTTTATTTAATCTTTGGACTAGTCAACGTATTTCTTTCAGGACTCTTATAATTCTATATAAATATGCATGTATTCACTAGCATGTTTGCATATATTTGATCTTCTTTCTAGAAACTCTTTGCATAGTGCCATCATTGTATATTGTAATATAGACCAATAGAGATATGTGAGACATTGATATCTGACATATCTCTTAGAGCAACTCTAGTTATATTTGCTCACCATCACCACTTTGACAAAAAATTTTTATCAATTGATATTATTAAACCTATAACAATTAAAACTTTATTGTTTTTGATCTTGATTTTTTAAGTGTTCTTGCATAGCAAGACCACTTAATGTTATCTCACATATATATTATTATTATTATTATTATAGCAAAATTTGCCACCCTAACTCCTCCCACAGTTTTTACACTACATAGACAAAAATTTACCAAAACGTGCAGATTGTTCCCGATCGGATTGCTATTACTTTGTGGAACGTTTCGCCGAATGGTTCACGGAATATCGTCGTTCTTGTGGCGAAATTTGTCCCATAGGAATGAATGGCAAAGCTAGAGTGGGAGCTGGCAAAAGCTGAAAAATCAGGACATGATTTCTAAACTGCCACCACTCCCTTATTTTCAGGCCCACCTACACAAATCTTATATCAAAACGTTCAGCTATCCCTGCTGCCACTAAACATGTCAACGGCTAAGCCATAGTCCTGATAGTTTTCACAATATAATCATTTGTTTGCAACTAACGCCGTCCATTGACATTCATTGAAACTTCCCTCTACAAAGCTCAAATTTGAAGTGCAATTTCTAAACTGCGACTGTGCCTTCATTTTTAATACTTCAGAGACATACTATGCATCAAAATGTAGGTCTGGGTCTTGTGATTCTCACAATATAAAGCTCTTCGCTGTAGGATTTATAGTTTTTAAAATACGACCGTTTGAAGATGGCAACCGCCAAAATACTCTGACCTGTGTCAGGCTGCAGCAGCAAGTGATGTCATAGACAGGGCCTTTTGAACACCTGCTAATGTTTTTATAAATGTATGGTTTAATGTAACTGTGCAACAACGTTGCAATTAAATGTGCTATATAAATGATAACAGTTACTCCGCCCACTCCAGTTGCAGACTACTGGTGGAGGCAAGAACACTTCACACAATTTCCCCAGAAATTGTAGCTTTTCTAGTTTATTATGTTCTCTTGCGAATATATATCAGGTCAACTATCTATACTACCTGAATACTAATTAATAGTTATTGACTAATTCTCTTCTGGGATACACTTCATTATTCAGTTTCAGTGTTTGCCACTAGGGGTTACCCCCCATTAAAAATAGTGTTCCCTGAAATATTTGGCTCGTCATCCCCTTTTTTTCTTTTCCTCTACCATATCACAGAATTATGCCTCTAAAACTGCCATGATATTCAAAGTTTCTGCCTATAAAACTGCCATGATATACCAAAATGATGCCTCTAAATATACCATGATATGCCAAAATTATGCCTCTAAAACTGCCATGATATGCCAAATTATGCCTCTAAAATTGCTGTGATATGCCAAGTTTCTGCCTTTAAAACTGCCATGATATACGAAAATTATTCCTCTAAATATACCATGATAAACCAAATTTATGCCTCTAAAACTGCCATGATTTGCCAATGTTATGCATCTAAAGCTAAGTGCCAGGGTGTGCCAATTGTATACCTCTAAAGCTGAGTGCCATGGTGTGCCAAGTGTATGCATCTAAAACTGATTGCCATAGTGTGCCGGTTGTATGACTAAAGCTGATTGCTTTAGTGTGCCAATTTTATGCATATAAAGCTGATTGCCCTGGTGTGCCAATTGTATGCCTAAAGCTGATTGCTATAGTCTGCCAATTTTATGCATCTAAAGCTGATTGCCCTTGTGTACCAATTTTGTGCACCTAAAAAGGATTGCCACGATGTGCTAATTTTATGCATCTTAAACGGATTGCGATGGTGTGTCAACTTTATGCATCTAAAACTTCTTGTATTGATGTGCCAAGTTTATGCATCTAAAACTGACTGCCATGATGTGCCAATTGTATGCCTCTAAAGCTGATTGCCATGGTGTTAATTTTTTAAATATGCATTAAAAGCAAGTGAAAAATTAGCGCTTCCCAAAGTGGGTCTTGGCCCATAAAAGTTTTGGAAGCCCTGCTCTAAGGCATTACTTGATAATGTAACACTGACCAAAATCAACATCATTTACTTACAGTATTTTTTTCTGATTATAGAATTTTTTGAACCCCAATTATGCAAGCATGGCGAAAAGGTAGATCCCCATCTGTCATACAACTACCGCAATGCTTTGCCAGCTGGTGATCTTCCATTTGCCCATCGTTGCAGGGTTGTATTTAGCACTGAGCAGTGTTTGATTGTTTGAATATAAGAATAGTTTTGTATAGAGTATATGTGTGTGCATGTAAAGGTGTATTTGTCTGTTGTGTTTTGTGTTTTTATGTACTGTTGCCATTTGAAAGCAATGGTTTACTTGTGTGTAGTGTTTACCTTAGAATGTAGGGATGTGTCTGTATGTAGTGTTAATGTTTAAATGCAGGAGTACATTTGTATGTAGTGTTGGCGTTTGAATGCTGAAATGTACGCACATGTACAAATTAAGAGTCACACACATACAGTTGCACAAACACACACAGACAGATACACAGACACACAGACACGCAAGAGGAGACACAGGTACACAGGCACGCTGACACATATACAAATACATAGATGCACAGATGCACACACAGACACACATGCAGATATACAAACACACATTCATATTCACAGATACACACACTGATGCACAGGCACACAGATACACACATAATAGTAGTACTATAGAAAATAATGTCAACATATGTTCTCAAAACTTGAGTGTAATTTCTTATGTATGATGGATAACCTGCCCCCTCTACCTTTTTTTTTTACCTAAGTTTTATATTGTGTTACTTTGTATAATTGAATATGTATCTTTTTTGTTATGTAAAAATGTGAAAACCTTGTTTCAATCAAAAATATTTAAAAAGAAAACATAGTCCCTACTGTTTGTTATGTGTAACTACAATACAGCATTCCCATCGGGTTGAGATTTGGACTTTGACTGGGCCATTGTAACACCTTGCTGCTTTTCTTTTTCAGCCATTCTGTTGTAGATCCTGTTGCATGACCCAATATCGGCCAAGCTTTAGCTGTTGACAGATGGCCTCACATTTGACTCTAGAATACTTTGGTACAGAGGAGTTCATAGTCAAATCAATGACTGCAAGGTTTCCGGATCCTGTGGCTACAAAACAAACCCAAATCATCACCGCTCCACCACTATGCTTGACAGTTGTTAGGAGGTGTTTGTGCTGATTTGCAATGTCTGGTTTTCGCCAAACAAGGCGCTGTGCATCATGTCCATACATCTCCAGTTTGGTCTCATTTGTCCAAAGGACATTGTTACAGAAGTCCTCTAGTTTGTTCAGATGCAACTTTGCAAACCTAAGCCATGCTGCCATTTTTAATTATTTTCTAACAATCTTTATTTGAAAGATTTTCACAAAATATAATCTTAATAAAAGTATTAAGGAGTCAGATACCCAAAATAATACAGAGAGGCTCTTCGAGCACAGAGAAGTCTACAGAGAGTAGACATGTGCAATTCGTTTCGTTCCGAATGGTAATTCGGACGAATTTCGTGCAATTCGGACATTCGGATACATCCGAATAGCTGAATTGCCGAAGTGCCGAATAGCCGAATTTCCGAAGTGTCAAAGTTCCGAAACACAGTATTGCTCAAGTACTAACATACCTACCCATTGGAAGAATGAAGAATGTTACACTGTATACAAGTTTAAATAAAAAGTATACAAACATAGCCAGGATTCAGCTGTAAGCATTTGCCACACTTACAACAATCAAGTAACATACATTCATATAAAATGTAAGTTACTTAGCCTGTCACTGGAATGACAGGAATTAATAAGTAGATAACTCCCTGGTCTTTCAGCCAAATTTACTAATACTAAGTAAAGATCTCTAAAAAGGGTCCCCCCTCCCGAGCCCCCACCCACGACGCGCGAGTGGGGGCTTTTAAACTAAAGGGGGGGCCTATTGCCCCCCCGGCCCCCACCCCTGAGCGGTGGGTGGTGGCCGTAAAGTAAAATAAGGAAGGGGACCTATTTTCCTCCCCCCCGGCCACCACCCCTGAGAGGCCGGTGGGGGCCCTAAATATCAATAAGGGGGGACCTATTGTCCTCCCACCCGGCCTCCACCCCTGAGCGGCCAGTGGGGGCCCTAAATATCAATAAGGGGGGACCTATTGACCTCCCCCTTGCCCCCACCCCTGAGCGGCGGATGGGGGCCCTAAATATCAATAAGGGTCGACCTATTGTCCTCCCCCCGGTAACGACTTTTCACCTACGAACGGTAAATGGGCTAGAGTAAACACAAAAATACGTATATTCAATAGCAGTGTTATTCTGTTTTTCCCTCTTATTTCCCCTCTGTATCAGTTGTACTATTAGCCTCTGCAGCCTATGAAGATCCATGTGTTTTCTCACTTTTCACTCACTGCAGTTTGTTCTTCCATCACTCTGGCTTCCTCAACCTGTTCTATCCACTCTCGTATTGTTGGCGGTTCGCGTTGCCTCCAGTTGACCAGGACAAGTGATCTAGCTGCTGTCAGCAGGTGTCTTGTTAGTGATTTTTTGTATGCTGAAATAGGCATATTTGTGTATGCAAAGAGCATATTGGCGGGGGCAAATTCTATGTCTGTTCCCGTCACTTCGAGTAGCGCTTTGTGTATTTGCTTCCAGAAAGGTTGAAGTTTTCTGCATTCCCACCAGATATAGGTCATTGTTCCCCTCACCTCTTTGCACCTCCAGCTCAGTTCTGAGCTGCTGGGGGTAATCCTGTGCAGTCGGTCTGGCATCAGATACCATCTGGTTAGGATTTTGTAGTTTGTTTCACGTAGTCTGGAGCTGATGGAGCCGTGGTGTGTCAGTATAATTATTTTTGACCATTGAGCTTTGGTTAAGGTCACTCCCAGTTCTTCTTCCTATTTAGAAATGTATGGGGGTGGATGTGGGCTTGTTGCTAAAAGTAGCAGTTGGTATAACGTAGAGATGCCCCTGGCGATAGACTACCTGCATAAGCATAGATTCTCCGACTGTGTTGGGGTTCTGCGGAGATTCTGCTTTGGATTTATCGATTGAACAAAATGCCGTAGTTGGTGGTATCTAAAGTTTTCTGGGAACGATAATGTTTTGTCTCCCACCAGTTCCGACAGTTTTTTTAGCTGTTCTGCGTTAGTCACCTCCGTGATTAAGATTGGATGCTTGTTGTGTAAGAAGCTGTAGAGTCTGCTATCTAATCCCTCAGGGAAGATTGGGTTCAAAGTGAGTAGATATAGTGGCCCCTTTGGTGTGGTTAGTGAGAGACGGAACCTCAGTCCGATCATAGGGTGTTGGCAGGTCGATGGTGTTGCTTCCTGTCTGTCCAACCATACTTCTCCTGGGATCTCATTTCGTGAATTTTCAATTTCCATGTGTGCCCATATTTTAGTATATCTTTACTTCGTTGCAGCGATCGCAGCATGATATGTGTTGGACAGACTTTTAGCTCCTTTGTCAGGGACTGTAACAGTGGAGTGAAATTCAGTGAATACAGAAGGGTCAGGTCCCGTGGTATCATGATTCCGAGATACTTAATATCTGTTGGGCACCAACGGAAGGGGAAGTTCTACTTTAGTCCGTCTGCCTCTCGTCCCTCCAGTGAAATGTGTCCATAGAGCTCCAGTTCTCCGAGTATATTTGGTAGTGTTATGTGTGGTTTAGACACCAGAAACATCATGTCATCTGCATAAGCAGTAACTTTATGCTCTGATGTTTGGGTGCGCAGGCCTGACATGGATTGGTGATGGTTTGGATTCTGGCGAATGGCCTCCATGAGCGGCTTCAGTGATAGGATGAACAGGAGTGGGGAAAGGGGGCACCCCTGTCAGATAGGTGTATAATGCCTGTACTCCTCACAGGAATGTATTACCCAGACCCATCTCTTGCATCAAAGGAGAGGAGCACCAGTGGCTGTCGCTGAGAACTTGCTACGTCTATTGCATTCAGTAGGCGGATGGTATTATATTTTGCTTCCCGCCCTGGAACAAAGACGCTCTGATCCGGGTGGACCAGCCTCCTAACCGCACATTCAAGGCAAGTCGACAAAAGTTAAGCGTACAGTTTTGTGTCTGCCTGTAGATGGAGCACGCCTCTGGGTCCCTCTTTCGGTAGTATTGTGATGTGTGCTGCCTTGGTGTCTCTTGGAAAGGCTTCCTGTTTGAGGATTGTGTAAGGACATGGAGGGGTGCTGCCCTGCGACAGCACTGTCCCTTTAAATGTGGGAACCAACTTAGCAGAGAAATAATGCAAGGACACGATGAATGGAGCAATCAAGAAAATATGTATTAAAGGAAGCCAAAGGATATAATATACAAAAACAAAATATATACAAAGCCACAAATATATATATATATACAATAAATCAATATAAATACAAATAGAGTACATGTAAATAGACCTAATGCAAAAAGTAAATAGTTAAGGCAGGATCGTGCAACCACCACAGAATATAGGTGGGGCACGAATCCTAAGCCACCAAGCACTAAATAAAAAACACCAAGGAGCAAAGCCCAAAGCAGGTCCCCTGGATATTAAGTATAGGTAGGAACACTGCAAGCGAACACTCGAACGGAAGGCACAGGACCAGGCAGAGACGAAAACGTAGGACCATAAGGACATCGGAACAGGAACATAGGATCAGGATGCACAGGAACAAGGAGCAAGGAGTCAGAGTCACGGGGAACAGGAACCAGGAAAGAGCAGACACGAGATAAAGGAAAGAGGAAAGAGGATAATGATCTGACAGGGAGTGAGGGGAGAAACCAGAATATATAGGTGCTAAACAAGGGCCAGGTGAAGTGCTTAACGTAAAGAAATGAGAAACAGTGCCAAACAGAAACAGTGGTGAGTGTGATTACTGCACGAGGGCCTATTAACACTGCAGCAATAGAATGTCCATGAAGACCTTGTAGTATTTCAGTGTTAGACTATCTGGGCCGGGGGCCCTTCCGGCTGTGGATGACTTTACTGCCATCTGCAGTTCCTCAATGGTAAACTCTCCATCCAGCTCTTCTGACATTTCAGGTGGGACTTTCTTACGAATTTTATTTGCTAAGTATGTTCGTATCTCAGTAGCGTGGTCCCTCCACACTTCCTCTCCTATAGGTGGGTTGAGGTTGTAAAGGGACTTGTAATAGGTGTGAAATTCTTTTGCTATTCCCAGGGGGGAGGGGAACTGGGTGCTTCTGTCCCCTTGTGTTCTAATCTTGGGAATGTGGAAACGTTGTTTACGTTTCCTCAGCATTCTAGGTAGGAGCCTGCCACACTTGTTTGCATGTTCATAGAAAAATCGTTAGGATTTTTGTAAAAGTAGGTAGTTTGTCTGAGTGAGATGAGTGCGGAGTTTGCGTTGTGCTTCCAGTAGGTCCTTGTATTCTTTTGTGGTCTGGTCCTGCTTGTGTTGGCCAGTTAGGTCTTCTATCCTGTTAAGTAAGTCCCTCACTTTTTCACGTTTATGGTGTGTGCATAATGAAATAAATGTGCCCCTGATGCTGCTTTTGTGGGCTTCCCAAATCATAGGTTGCGCAACTTCTGTTGTTTCATTGTCACTGAAGTAATGGTTCAAAGTGTTTCTGATTTGTAGGGTCATTTCATTGTCCACCAGCGTTGCCTCGTTCAGCCTCCAGTGTCGCTGTTTAGGTCTTTGAAGTGGGGTCGTCATGGATATCTCCACCAGGGAGTGATCAGACCAAACAGTTGTGCCTATAGCAGCAGTGCGCAGGTGCGTTAGGTATTCTTGTCAGGGTATTTATATCGGCAGACATCTTGTGCTATGATAGAAATTAAAAGTGTATATTCTGAGTCACTCTGAACAGACCAGACTCCATTTTGTTATTTTCAAGTTAACAAAGAGACACGAAATTTCTATCCTTTCTGTAAAACTAACCACTTTGCCAGAGCTAAAGGAATGCATATTATAAACAAACCAAGTGATAAGGAGAACGGGGGTTGGATAGACTGTTTAAATGCTAATGGAATAGATCAATTCTAAACCCAGACATTGGTGACAGAGAAGATTAAATAATAAAATTTTACTTTCTATATGTACAAGGTCCCATTGTAAGTTACGGGTCAAAACTCAGATTTGCCAGACACATAGTCTGGACAAAACTTAAAGAAACTGTTTGATCTGAAAGGAAACGTAAGTTATGGCCACTATCAAGATAGGCCAAAATGACGTAAAAATAGCCACCAAGAAAAGTTAACTCTTTCCTGGATAGGTATGTTTAGTGGGACAAGACTGCCCTCTATAGATCAAATAACCAAATTGCGATATGGAAGATAACCACACCCCCAGTGTTGCTATTGGTTTACCAACTAGTGAATTTTCCCTTTAAAAAGTTAAGACAAAGAGGGGGAAGAGAGACGAGTAATGCAAGGGTATGCAAAGAAGTGAGCAGTCGGAAGCAATGCAGAGAGGCCTATGACAGATATCCACTCTAGGACACTCAGAAATTCCTACACACCTCCATGCAGAGAGACATCCAAATAAGTTCCTGAGACTATCTACCAATCGGATGAAATATCTACTCAACTGGTAATTATACTGGTTTCATTTAATTAATTAAATTAATTAAAATTTACTAATAGCATGATATATGACTGGATAAATCACGGTCAGATTTCCATATTAAGAAATCTTAGTTAACTAAAGAATATATAGTTATAAACATTCCATTCTGCAGGTGGAATTAAGAATAATTATATATTGATGTGATATTATGACGTGTTAGCATACCGCTGTTTTTATCCAGGTGTATTGATTTGCTCTAAATTAAGATATGATATCTTTTAGACAAATTAAACTCTGCTTATATAATATGGTAGATTCTCTTATTGGATGGTTCCAGGAAATGACTAATGAACTGGTTTAAATGTTATTTTATTTAAAATTACATAAGAATAGATCTTAATTACCTAGGAGATCTAGCCAGCATTGAAAGGGTTATTCAGTTATTCTAACTGTTAGCCAGGGTTTTATGGCCCTTCGCTGTGAAAAGCTTTGCTTTCTCTCTGTGAAAGATACCTCATAAATCGTGTAAGACTTGACAGAAAATGCTGTTTAGCCATTGAAACTTGTATAGCCATTCCTTTGTATTGCATACCATTTTATACTGGATATTCATTGATTATTGTCACGCATGTTACATATTATTATTATTATTAATTAATTTATCATAAAATAAAATCTATTTTTATAACATTGTGATTAAATTATATGAAATACTTTTCACTTACGATAACGACCTTTGGGATCTGAGAATTGAATTAGTGGGCAATTCTCACTGTTTACTATTATTATCCCATAAATATCCCCACATTCTTGTGCCACAAACACGTAGTCCAGCCTAGAATAAGTATTAAATGCTGGGGAGTAGTGCGAGAAGTCCCGGTCCTCGGGGTGCAGTACCCACCAGGAGTCAACTACTCCCATTTGATTTAGGATCATGCCCAACCTTCTGACTTGCTGTAGAGGAACCGAGCTATGTTCCCTGGAGGTGTCTATCTGTGGTTTCAATGTCATGTTAAGCCCTGCCCCATAATTAAGGTGCCATCACGGAAGTCGGCCAACATGTTGAACATTTTTTGGATAAACACACATTGTCGTGTGTTTGGGGTGTTTATGCATGCTATAGTGTGTACGTGTCCCAGTATTGTACCTTTTAAGAATAGATATCTACCATGAGTGTCCACTTTACTCTCTTTCACTTGGAATGGGATATTCTGCGTGAACAATATGGCCACTTTAGCTTTTTTGGCTTGCGCATTGTGTGCAAAAAACGCTATCTTGCAGGATCAGCGCATTGTCTAGTTTGAAATGTGTTTCTTGAAGCATTGCAATGCTCACTCTGTTTGCTCTTAGTTTGCGCAAGAGATGCGAACGTCTTTCCGGCTTATTGAGCCCTCTCATGTTTAGAATACGGACTCTCAGGATTTGTGTGGCGTATGCTGTGGGGTTGTTGGTGTCATAATAAACTGCTGGGCAAAGCGTTCCATGCACCTCACTTTTGGACCGAACGTTCGGGAAGAGCCTTTCAGTGATACACAGACAACGTGTTTCAATTTGGGCTACTACCAATCTATTAAGGCTCAGGCAAACATATTTACAGACAGAAGTTACAGCAAAAGTAACATGACAAGATCACATCAGCTAAACACGATATTGCTTATTCAGCAACCAACAACATGTAGTGATGTCCCGAACGGTTCGCCGCGGACTCCAGTCAGCAGACACATTCCAGCCAATCAGCAGCAGACCCTCCCTCCCAGATCCTCCCACCTCCTGGACAGCATCCATTTTGAAGCTGCATTCTTAGTGAGTTGTCCAGGAGGTGGGAAGGTCTGGGAGGGCGGGTCTGCTGCTGATTGGCTGGAATGTGTTTGCTGACTGGAGTCCGCCGCGAACGTTCATGGCGAACTGTGGCGAACCGTTCGGCGAACCGTTCGGGACATCACTAACAACATGTATTTCTGGTAGCGAGGTCAAAAAGGTTCTCATTGATGGTTGGCAACAGGTTCATTTTTAAGCTGACGTTTAACTAGACTATTTCAAGAATAAGCTGCCCATTTACACTAGTCATGTATTTAATTTTTAACCCTTACAGGAGTCCATTGGTGTCTGTACCCTCAACCGCGCATTTGTCCGAGCACCACAAGGGCAGCAGAGGGACGAGGGACGGAAGGGTATCAGGGGGGTGGAAACCGGTGAGCAAACGGAGGGGGAGAGGAAAAAAAAAACCACAACCCACCACCGTAGGAATGCAGCACAAAACTGTGCACTATAGTACAACGCGAGGCTACGACCTCTGGTCTACCCTAAGGAATGGGAGTAATCTATACTCTTTCTCCCACCCTGGGCTCCGACCTTATTTACAATAGAGTCTGCCTCTGTGGATAACAGCAGTGGTCAGTTATAGAGACGTGATTAATGTGTAGTGGCTCTCGTTAGTCTATCTTCTCAATTCTGTTTCAGTGTAGTTGGTAATGTAAATGGGTAATGTCTATTGCAGTGAGTCTCCTATGGATGGTCACGTCCCTAGGCAGAAGGGTGTGTGCTAAACATGATCGTTCTTTTCCTCCCCCCAGTCCAGCAGGTTCAGTGCAGCTGCCGCTGAGTGCCCTCCCTTGTCCCCTCCCCAACTCCTCCTTCTGATGTTTGACCTGTTTATCTTGCCAACCAATTCTTCGACAGCTGTGTTTTCGGTCAGGGTCTGTCTCCTGAGCCCCCTTCCCTTTTCTTCTTTTTCGCCTTTCCTCCCCACATCCCCTTTTTTTCCCCTCCCAGTCATCAGGTGGCTTCATGAACCTCCTATGTTTCTGAAGGCGTATTAAGCCTAGTCTCACCCCTAACCCGCCCTCCCATGCTCGATTCTCACCAGCTTCCGTTGCCCAAGACATCATGTTTCCCAGAGGCTCAGTGTAAGCAGCACAAGTCAGATTAGAACAGGTTCATAAATCAGATAACCATTTCAACATACATTTCGTGAGAGCAGAAAGCAGTATAAAACTGTTTCATATATCAAATAATATTGCTACATAACTATGACCCTTGTTCCTGGGTCTAGTGCGCCAATTTTCATTAGTTAGCGGACGGTGGAATCCCAGAGTCTCGTACTGCTTGTGTAGTCCCCTGCCTGTTATGCACCCGTTCCTCTCCCAAAAGAGTCCAGGATGTCCATGAACTTGTGGGTGAGCATTCACCAGGATGAGACCCCCTGCAGTCTCTCCCCCCTCAAACGAACATATGCTGTCTTGAGCATTTTGTATGTGTGTCCCCCCCCTTCTTTTTTCTGTTTTTGTTTCCTTCCCCCTTCCCCAACCCTCTTCTTCCCCCTCCTCCCTCTTGTTGATCCACCCCCCACTTTCCCTCCAATATATCAAACTAAATCATGGTATTGCTGGGACACAGTGGCGTACATACCAGGGTCGCAGGGGTCGCGGCTGCGACCGGGCCCGGCCCACCAGGGGGCCCGGCCGCCCCTGCGACCCGGTATGTACCCACAGGGCCAGCCTCTTCCCCTGGGGGGCCCAGGAGCCGACCACCCGAGGGCCCACCGAGGCTGGCCCTGCTGTCACACACACACACTCCTGGGTGGGTGGCCGGTCGGGCAGGCAGGCGGGCGGGCGCGTGAGGGAGCACTCAGTGCTTCCTCTTCAGCTCCCTCGCGCACCGCACTGATGCCGGAACCGGAAGATGATGTCATCTTCCGGCGCCGGCATCCCTACTTGGCGCGCGAGGGAGCTGAAGAGGAAGCACTGAGGGGAAAGTGCTCCCTCGCGCGCCGTCCACCCAAACCGGCCCGTCCAGCAGCCCAGCAGCAGCACCACTGGACCCCAGGGAATCCCCCCAGCACCCTAAAAGGTAAGGAGGCTGGGGGGATTAAATTTAAAAAAAAAAAAAGTGTGTGAGTGTTAGAGTGAGTGTTAGTGTGAGTGTCTGCTAGTGTGTGTGAGTGTTAGAGTGAGTGTTAGTGTCTGCTAGTGTGAGTGTTAGTGTCTGCTAGTGTGAGTGTTAGAGCTAGTGTGAGTGTTAGAGTGAGTGTTAGTGTGAGTGTCTGCTAGTGTGTGTGAGTGTTAGAGTGTGTGTCTGCTAGTGAGTGTCAGTGAGTGTGTTACTGTGTGTGTATGTTAGTGAGTCTGTTTGATGTCTGTTAGTGAGTT